AACCCATCAAACTCTGCATCTCCAAGTTCTACAGGTGACAAATTCGGGTGGTTTTGGGGCGTTTTGGGGGGGTTTGGGAATGTTGGGAGATGGTGGTGGGACCAAACCCAATGAGGCCAATGTCACAAGTTCTACAGGTTCCAAATTTGGGGCATTTTGGGGTGTTTTGGGGGGTTTGGGAAGGTTTGGAGACGGTGGTGGAACCAAACCCAACGAGGTCGATGTCACAAGTTCTACAGGTGCCAAATTTGAGCAGTTTTGGGGCATTTTGGGAAGGTTTGGGAAGGTTTGAGAAGGTTTGGGAAGGTTTGGGGTTGGTGGTGGAACCAAACCCAACGAGGTCACATCAAACTCTGCATCTCCAAGTTCTACAGGTGCCAAATCCAGGCGGTTTTGGGGCATTTTGGGGGGTTTGGAGATGGTGGTGGGACCAAACCCATCAAACTGTGCATCTCCAAGTTCTACAGGTGACAAATTTGGGCAGTTCTGGGGCGTTTTGGGGGTTTGGGAAGGTTTGGAGATGTTGGTGGAACCAAACCCAACGAGGTCACATCAAGCTCTGCGTCTCCAAGTTCTACAGGTGACAAGTTTGGGGGGTTTTGGAGGGTTTGGGAAGGTTTGGAGATGGTTTGGGAAGGTTTGGGAAGGTTTGGAGATGGTGGTGGGACCAAACCCAACGAGGTCACATCAAACTCTGCATCTCCGAGTTCTACAGGTGACAAATTTGGGGGGTTTGGGAAGGTTTGGAGATGTTGGTGATGATGTCTTTGGAGATCTCTGAACATCTCAGAACCTTTTAGGACATCTCTGGCCACCTCAACCTCCTCCACTCCCCATCCCACCTCCAACTTTCCATCTCCAACCCCACCACGAGGAGCACGAGGAGGTCCCACCTCGGGTTGTCCCCCCCAACCCCGACGTTCCCAACCCCGACGTTCTTCCGGAATCTTCCAGGCCCGAGAACACGCACAAGTCCACCAAGGCGAGCTACCACGCCGACATCAACCTGCTCTACTGGAGCGACGAGGAGGCCACCGTGGAGTTCCGGGCGGTGCAGGGCCGCTGCTCCGTGGTCTATGGAGAAGACCTCACCGAGAGCATCCAGGACTACTCGGCCGGCGGCCTGGACCGCTTCTACTTCCTGGAGGTGAGGCCAGGAGAGGTCCCGGGGATGGAGGAGAAGGTTGGAGACACCTGGGGTGGAGGAGAATTTGGGGTTCGGGAGGTTCTGGATGGGTTCCTCAGGGTCTGGATGGGTTCCTGGAGGTCTGGATGGGTTCCTGGAGGTCTGGATGGGTTCCTTGAGATCTGGATGGGTTCTTGGAGGTCTGGATGGGTTCTTTGAGGTCTGGATGGGTTCTTGGAGGTCTGGAGATGCCAGGGGTGGAGGAAAATTTGGGGTTCTGGAGGTCTGGATGGGTTCTTGGAGGTGTGGATGAGTTCTTGGATGGGTTCCTGGAGGTTCTGGATGGGTTCCTGGAGGTCTGGATGGGTTCTTGGAGGTCTGGATGGGTTCTTAGAGGTCTGGATGGGTTCCTGGAGGTCTAGAGATACCAGGAATGGAGCAAAATTTGAGGTTCTGGAGGTCTGGATGGGTTCCTGTTGGTCTGGATGGGTTCTTGGAGGTCTGGATGAGTTCCTGGAGGTTCTGGATGGGTTCTTGGTGGTCTGGATGGGTTCCTGGAGGTCTGGATGAGTTCTTGGAGGCGTTGATGGGTTCTTGGAGGTCTGGATGGGTTCCTGGAGGTCTGGATGGGTTCCTTGAGGTCTGGATGGGTTCCTTGAGGTTTGGATGAGTTCTTGGACATCTGGATGGGTTCCTGGATGGGTTCCTCGAGGTCTGGATGAGTTTTTTGAGGTCTGGATGGGTTCCTGGAGGTCTGGATGGGTTTCATGGAGGTTCTGGGTGGGTTCTTGGAGGTTCTGGAGACACCAGGGATGGACCAAAATTTGGGGTTCTGGTGAAATTTGGGATTTTTGGGGTTTTTTTCCAGGCTTACAACGCCAAGACCAAGAGCTTTGAGGATCCTCCCAACCACGCCCGGAGCTCCGGGACCAAAGGGAAGGGGAAGGGGAAAGGGAAAGGTGAGGCTGGAAAATGGGAAAAAACGGGAAAAAGGGGAGAAAAATGGGTGGGAAAGGGGTGGAAAATGGGGCGGAAAAGAGGTGGGAAAGGGGCAGAAAATGGGTAAAAATGGGGCAGAAATTTGGTGTAAAAGGGGCAGAAAATGCGTCAGAAAATGGGTAAAAAGGGGCAGAGATTTGGTAAAAAAGGGGCAGAAAGTGGGGCAGAAAATGGGTGAAAAAAGGGCAGAAAATGGGTGAAAAAGGGGCAGAAATTTGGTAAAAGTGGGGTTGCAAATGGAATGGGAAAGAGATGGGAAAGGCCCTGAAAATGGGGCAAAAAATGGGGCAGAAAAATGGAAAAGAGGTGGGAAAGGAGCAGAAAATGGGTGAAAAAAGGGCAGAAATTTGGTAAAAAAGGGGCAGAAAATGGGGCAGAAAATGAGTAAAAAAGGGGCAGAAAATGGGTAAAAAAGGCCAGAAATTTGGTAAAAAAGGGCAGGAAATAGGTAAAAAAGGGCAGAAAATGGGGCAGAAAATGGATAAAAAAGGGGCAGAAAATGGGTGAAAAAGGGCAGAAAACGGGTAAAAAAGGGCAGAAATTTGGTAAAAAAGGGCCAAAAATGGGTAAAAAAGGGGCAGAAAATGGGTGCAAAAAGGGCAGAAAATGGGTAAAAAAGGGGCAGAAAATGGGTAAAAAAGGGCAGAAAATGGGTAAAAAAGGGCAGAAAATGGGGCCTGGGAGGTGCTGGAGCCCCGGAGGAGGAGGAGGAGGAGGAGGAGGAGGAAGGGCAGCCCCTGAGCCGCCCCCGGCCCGCTGGGTTTCGGCAGGGAAGGGCAAGGCGAGGGCGGCGGGCGCGGAGCCGAGCGAGCGGGAGCCCCCCAGGCCGCAGGAGCCCCCCAAGCTGAGGACCCTGGACGTCTTCTCGGGCTGTGGAGGCCTCTCCGAGGGCTTCCACCAGGCAGGTGAGGTCCGGCCGCGGGAGCCGGGCTTGGACAGGGGTGGGAGAGGTCCCACGGGGGTTGGAGAAGCTGCTGGAGGGTCCCAGGGCCCGGCCCGAGGCGTTCCCACCCCGTTCTGGGCGTTTCCGTCCAACCGTGGCCGTTCCCACCCAACCCTGACCATCGCTGACCATTCCCACCCAACCGTGGCCATTCCCACCCAACTGTGGCCGTTCCCACCCAACCGTGGCCGTTCCCACCCAACCGTGGCCGTTCCCACCCAACCGTGGTCATTCCCACCCAACTCTGACCATCACTGACCATCGCTGACCGTTCCCACCCATCCCTGACCATCCCTCACCATCCCTGATCATCCCTGACCGTTCCCACCCACCCCTGACCATTCCCACCCACCCCTGACCATCTCTGACCGTTCCCACCCAACCATGGTCATTCCCACCCATCTCTGACCATCCCTGACCACCCCTGACCATCCTCACCCATCCCTGACCATCGCTGACCATTTCCACCCAATTTTGACCATTCCCACCCTTCTCTGACCACCCCTGACCATCCTCACCCATCCCTGACCATCCCTGACCATTCCCACCCACCCCTGACCATCTCTGACCATCCCTGACCGTTCCCAGTGTCCATCCCTGACCACCTCTGACCATTCCCACCCAACTTTGGCCATTCCCGGTGTCCATCCCTGACCATCCTTGACCATTCCCACCCATCCCTGACCATCCTTGACCATTCCCACCCATCCCTGACCATCCCTGAGCATTCCTGACCAACTCTGACCATTCCCACCCAACTTTGGCCATTCCCGGTGTCCATCCCTGACCATCTCTGACCATCCCTGACCATTCCCAGTGTCCGTCCCTGACCATCTCTGACCATTCCCACCCATCCCTGACCATTCCCACCCAACCATGGTCATTCCCACCCAACCCTGACCATTCCCACCCACACCTGACCATTCCCACCCATCTCTGACAATTCCTGACCATCCTTGACCATTCCCACCCACCCCTGACCATTCCCATCCAACCATGGTCATTCCCACCCATCCCTGACCACCCCTGACCATTCCCACCCATCTCTGACCATTCCCACCCATCTCTGACCAACTCTGACCATTCCCACCCAACTTTGACCATTCCCAGTGTCCATCCCTGACCATTCCCACCCATCTCTGTCCATCCCTGTCCATCCCTGACCATCGCTGACCATCCCTGACCATTCCCACCCTTCTGTGACCATCTCTGACCATTCCCACCCAACCATGGCCATTCCCACCCAACTTTGGCCATTCCCAGTGTCCATCCCTGACCATCGCTGACCATTCCCACCCATCCCTGACCATTCCCACCCACCCCTGCCCACCCCTGACCATCCCTGACCATCATTGACCATCCCCACCCATCCCTGACCACCTCTGACCATTCCCACCCAACTTTGGCCATTCCCGGTGCCCATCCCTGACCATCCTTGACCATTCCCAGTGTCCATCCCTGACCATCCATGACCATCGCTGACCATCCCTGACCATTCCCACCCTTCTGTGACCATCTCTGACCATTCCCACCCAACCACGGCCATTCCCACCCAACCTTGGCCATTGCCAGCGTCCACCCCTGCCCACCCGTGCCCACCCCACGCCCTCCCGGCCGCGGTGCCCCCCCAGGTGTGTCGGAGACGCTGTGGGCCATCGAGATGTGGGAGCCGGCGGCGCAGGCGTTCCGCCTCAACAACCCCGGCACCACGGTGTTCACCGAGGACTGCAACGTGCTCCTCAAGCTGGTCATGGCCGGCGAGAGGACCAACGCCCTGGGCCAGAAGCTGCCCCAGAAGGGCGACGTGGAGATGCTGTGCGGGGGCCCCCCGTGCCAGGGCTTCAGCGGCATGAACCGCTTCAACTCGCGCACCTACTCCAAGTTCAAGAACTCCCTGGTGGTCTCCTTCCTCAGGTGGGTTCTCCAGGGGGGTTCTGGGCAGGTGGGGCCACAGCTGGTGTTCTCCAGGGGGGTTCTGGGCAGGTGGGACCACAGCTGGTGTTCTCCAGGGGGGTTCTGGGCAGGTGGGACCACAGTTGGTGTCCCCAGGTGGGTTCTGGGCAGGTGGGGCCACAGCTGGTGTTCCCCAGGTGGGTTCTGGGCAGGTGGGACCACAGCTGGTGTCCCCTCATGGGTCTGGGCAGGTGGGACCACAGCTGGTGTCCCTTTGGGGGGTTCGATGGGATTTTTTGGAGGTGGGACCCCATCTGGTGTTCCCAGGCGGATCTGGAGGGGTTTTTTGGGGTGACGGATGGGATTTTTGGGGTGACGGAGGGGATTTTTGGGGAGATGGAGAGGATTTTTGGGGAGATGGAGGGGATTTTTGGGGAGATGGATGGGATTTTCGGGGTGATGGAGAGGATTTTTGGGGTGACGGAGGGGATTTTTGGGGTGATGGAGAGGATTTTTGGGGTGACGGATGGGATTTTCGGGGTGATGGAGAGGATTTTTGGGGTGACGGATGGGATTTTGGGGTGACGGATGGGATTTTTGGGGTGACGGAGGGGATTTTTGGGGTGATGGAGAGGATTTTTGGGGTGACGGATGGGATTTTCGGGGTGATGGAGAGGATTTTTGGGGTGACGGAGGGGATTTTTGGGGTGACGGATGGGATTTTCGGGGTGATGGAGAGGATTTTTGGGGTGACGGATGGGATTTTTGGGGTGACGGATGGGATTTTTGGGGTGACGGAGGGGATTTTTGGGGTGACGGATGGGATTTTCGGGGTGATGGAGAGGATTTTTGGGGTGACGGATGGGATTTTCGGGGTGACGGATGGGATTTTTGGGGTGACACCCCCCGACGTCCCCCGTGTCCCCGCAGTTACTGCGATTATTACCGGCCGCGCTTCTTCCTGCTGGAGAACGTCCGGAACTTCGTGTCCTTCAAGAGGTCCATGGTGCTCAAGCTGACCCTGCGCTGCCTGGTGCGCATGGGCTACCAGTGCACCTTCGGGGTGCTGCAGGTACGGCGCAGGCTGGGGGAAAAAAATCCCTTTTTTGGGAAAAAAAATCCCTTTTTTGGGAAAAAATCCCTTTTTTGGGGAGAAAAAAACCATTTTTGGGGACAAAAACCCCTTTTTGTGGGGAGAAAAACCCTTGTTTTGGGGAGAAAAATCCCTTTTTGTGGGGGAAAAACCCCCTTTTTTGGGGAGAAAAATCCCTTTTTGTGGGGAGAAAAAAACATTTTCTGGGGAGGAAAACCCCTTTTTTTCCCCTGTTTTTTGAGAAAAAAATCCTTTTTTTGGGGACAAAAACCCTTTTTGGGGAGAAAAGCCCTTTTTTAGGACAAAAACCCCTTTTTTGGGGAGAAAATCCTTTTTTTTTGGAAAAAAACCCTTTTTGTGGGGAGAAAACTCCCTTTTTGTGGAGAGAAAAACCTTTGTTTTGGGGATAAAAACCCCTTTTTTTTCCTCAGCTTTTTGGGGACAAAACCCCCCTTTTTTCCCTGCTTTTGGGGGAAAAAACCCGTTTTTTGGGAAAAAACCTCCTTTTTTGGGGAGAAAAACCCTATTTGGGGGAGAAAAAACCCTTTTTTGGGAAAAAAACCCTTTTTTGGGGACAAAAATCCCTTTTTGGGGACAAAACCCCTTTTTTTGGGGACAAAAACCCCTTTTCTGGGGGGCCTGACCCCTTGGGTGGCTCTGGGGACATTCCCACCTCCATGGAGGTTCCACATGGCCATGGCCACCACAGGAATTGTCCCCTCCAACGGCAGAACTGTCCCCTGCGGTGGCCCTGTCTCGGTGTCCCCATGGTGACAATGTGACAGTGTTGGTGTCCCCACAGTGACAGTGTTGGTGTCCCCATGGTGACAATGTTGGTGTCCCCATGGTGACAATGTGACAATGTTGGTGTCCCCATAGTGACAATGTTGGTGTCCCCATGGTGACAGTGTTGGTGTCCCCACGGTGACAGTGTTGGTGTCCCCATGGTGACAATGTGACAATGTTGGTGTCCCCATGGTGACAGTGTTGGTGTCCCCACGGTGACAGTGTTGGTGTCCCCACGGTGACAATGTGACAATGTTGGTGTCCCCACGGTGACAATGTTGGTGTCCCCATGGTGACAGTGTTGGCGTCCCCACGGTGACAGTGTTGGTGTCCCCATGGTGACAATGTGACAATGTTGGTGTCCCCATGGTGACAGTGTTGGTGTCCCCACGGTGACAGTGTTGGTGTCCCCACGGTGACAATGTGACAATGTTGGTGTCCCCACGGTGACAATGTTGGTGTCCCCATGGTGACAGTGTTGGTGTCCCCATGGTGACAATGTTGGTGTCCCCATGGTGACAATGTGACAATGTTGGTGTCCCCACGGTGACAATGTTGGTGTCCCCATGGTGACAGTGTTGGTGTCCCCATGGTGACAATGTTGGTGTCCCCATGGTGACAATGTGACACTGTTGGTGTCCCCATAGTGACAATGTTGGTGTCCCCATGGTGACAGTGTTGGTGTCCCCATGGTGACAATGTTGGTGTCCCCATGGTGACAATGTGACACTGTTGGTGTCCCCATAGTGACAATGTTGGTGTCCCCATGGTGACAGTGTTGGTGTCCCCATAGTGACAATGTTGGTGTCCCCATGGTGACAATGTGACAGTGTTGGTGTCCCCACAGTGACAGTGTTGGTGTCCCCACGGTGACAATGTGACAGTGTTGGTGTCCCCATAGTGACAATGTTGGTGTCCCCATGGTGACAGTGTTGGTGTCCCCACAGTGACAGTGTTGGTGTCCCCACGGTGACAATGTGACAGTGTTGGTGTCCCCATAGTGACAATGTTGGTGTCCCCATGGTGACACTGTTGTCCCCAATGTCCCCTCAGGCCGGTCAGTACGGTGTTGCCCAGACACACCGCCGTGCCATCGTGCTGGGGTGGCTGTGTCCCCTCTCAGTGACACTGTTGGTGTCCCCATGGTGACAATGTGACAGTGTTGGTGTCCCCATGGTGACAGTGTTGTCCCCTCAGGCCGGTCAGTACGGTGTTGCCCAGACACACCGCCGCGCCATTGTGCCCATGGTGACAGTGTGACACTGTTGGTGTCCCCATGGTGACACTGTTGTCCCCATTGTCCCCTCAGGCCGGTCAGTACGGCATGGCCCAGACGCGCCGCCGCGCCATCGTGCCCATGGTGACAGTGTGACACTGTTGGTGTCCCCATGGTGACACTGTTGTCCCCATTGTCCCCTCAGGCCGGTCAGTACGGTGTTGCCCAGACGCGCCGCCGCGCCATCGTGCTGGCGGCCGCCCCCGGCGAGAAGCTGCCGATGTTCCCCGAGCCCCTGCACGTGTTCGCCCCCCGCGCTTGCCAGCTCAGCGTCGTGGTGGACGACAAGAAATTCGTCAGCAACATCACGCGGTGGGTGACGGGCCGGGGACACCGGGGGACAGCGGGAACAATGGGAACAAACACCAGGCAACAGCGGGAAACAGCGGGGAACACTGGAAAACATTGTGGAACAAACACCGGGAATCACCGGGGAACATTGGGGAACAAACACCAGGAAACACCGGGGAACGCTGGGGAACACCAGGGAACACGGGGGAACAAAGGGAAACGAACACTGGGAAACAAACACCGGGAAACACCAGGGAACACCAAGAAACAGCGGGAAACAAACACCGGGAAACACCAGGAACCCAGGAAACACCGGGGAACAAACACCAGGGAACACCGGGAAACACCGGGAACCCAGATGGGAATGCCGGTTTGGGAATTTGGTACTTGGAGATTCCGGTGTTGGGAATTTTGGTGTTGGGACTTCCAAGTTGGAAATTCGGTGAAGGGAATTCTGAGCTGGGGGTTCCAAGTTGGGAGCTCCAAGTCGTGAATTCCAAGTTGGGAATTCCAAGTTGGGAATTTCGAGCTGCCAAATCTGAGTTGGGAGATCCAAGTTGGGAGCTCCAAGTCGGGAGTTCCATTTTGGGAGCACCAAGTCGGGAATTTCAAGTCGTGAATTCCAAGTTGGGAGTTCCCAGCTGGGAGCTCCAGGTTGGGAATTTTGGTGTCGGGAGTTCCGAGTGGGGATCTCTGAGCCCCGGGGTCGGGACGGTGCCGCCCCCAGGACGTTCTCGGGCCCGTTCCGCACCATCACCGTGCGCGACACCATGTCGGACCTGCCCGAGATCCGCAACGGCGCCTCGGCGCTGGAGATCTCCTACAACGGCGAGCCCCAGTCGTGGTTCCAGCGGCAGATCCGCGGCTCGCAGTACCAGCCCATCCTCAGGGACCACATCTGCAAGGTGCGAACGGTGGCCACGGCGGCAACGGGGTCCACCGGGTCCCGCCGGGTCCCGTGCCCGAAATCGGGATGGGGGAAACCGTGGGAGCGGTGGAGGTGCTGGGAACGGTGGAGGGGTGGGAATTGTGGAGATGTTGGGAACTGGTGGAGGTGATGGGAATGATGGAAGTGGTGGGAACGGTGGAGGCCTTGGAATGGTGGAGATGTTGGGAATGGTGGAGGTGGTGGGAATGGTGGAGGTGGTGGCAATGGTGAGAACGGGGTCCACCGGGTCCCACCGGGTCCCATGCCCGAAATCGGGATGGGGGAAACCGTGGGAGCGGTGGAGGTGTGGGAATGGTGGAGGTGTGGGAATGTTGAGAATGGTGGATTTGGGAATGGTGGATTTGGGAATGGTGGATTTGGGAATGGTGGAGATGGTGGGAATGGTTGGACGTGGTGGGAATTGTGGAGATGTTGGGAACTGGTGGATTTGGGAATGGTGGAGGTGGTGGGAATGGTGGAGGTCTTGGGAATGGTGGAGGTTTTGAGAATGGTGGATTTGGGAATGGTGGAGATGCTGGGAATGGTGGGTTTGGGAATGGCGGACATTTTGGGAAGATGTGGAGGTGTTGGGAATGGTGGAGCCACTGGGAGCCTCATGGGACCCCTGGGATCCCTTGGGATTGTCCATCGTCCCCCGTGGTGCCCTGGTGTTGTCCAACGTCCCCTGATGGTGTCCAGTGTCTACGGGTGGTGTCCACCATCCCCCAGTGGTGCCCAAATGTCCCCCATTGATGCCCAACGTCCCCCAGTGGTGCCCAACGTCCCCCAATGGTGTCCGACGTTGCCCATTGATCTCCAACATCCCCCCCCATGATCTCCAGCATCCCCCACGATGCCCAACATCCCCCAATGGTGCCCGACATCTCCCAATGGTGCCCAACGTCCCCCATGATCTCCAACATCTCCCAATGGTGCCCAACACCCCCCAACGTCCCCCCCGTGCCCCGTGGCGCCCGCGGTGACGCCGCCGCGGTGGCCCCGGCAGGACACGAGCGCGCCGGTGGCGGCGCGGATGCGGCACATCCCCCATTGGTGCCCAACATCCCCCAACGGCGTCCAACCTTGCCCATTGGTCCCCGACGCCCCCCCCCAATGTCCCCCCCATCCCCACGGTGACACCGCGGTGGCCCCGGCAGGACATGAGCGCGCTGGTGGCGGCGCGGATGCGGCACATCCCGCTGGCGCCCGGCTCCGACTGGCGGGACCTGCCCAACATCGAGGTGCGGCTCTCGGACGGCACCAGCACCCGCAAGCTGCGCTACACCCACCACGAGCGCAAGAACGGCCGCAGCAGCTCCGGCGCCCTGCGCGGCGTCTGCTCCTGCGCCGAAGGTGCGTGCTGGGACTCCGTAATCACGTCCTCACCTCGGTTGGACGTGTCTTTTCCCCCAAATTTTGGGGTTTTTGTGTGGTGGTGGTGACCATGTCTGCTCCTGCACTGAAGGTGCGTGGTGGGACTCCGTAAGCACATCCTCACCTGGGCTGGACGTGTCTTTTCCCCCAAATTTTGGGGTCTTTTGGGTGGTGGTGGTGGCCATGCCTGCTCCTGCGCCGAAGGTGTGTGGTGGGACTCCATAAGCGTGTCCTCACCTCAGCTGGACGTGTGTTTTTCCCCAAATTTTGGGGGTTTTTTTGGTTGGTGGTGGTGATCGATGTCCAACCCTTGAAGGTTCCCAATGGTCATTGGCCCAACGGTTACGTGGGGTTGGTGGTGGTGACCAATGTCCAACCCTTGAAGGTTCTCAATGGTCATCATTGTCCCAGAACTTGGGTGGGTTTGGTGGTGAAGACCAGGTCTGCTCCTGCGCCGAAGGTGCGTGGTGGGACTCCGTAAGCACGTCCTCACCTGGGCTGCGCTGGACGCGTCTTCTTCCCCCAAATTTTGGGTTTTTTTGGTTGGTGATGGTGACCAATGTCCAACTCTTGAAGGTTCCCAATGTTCATTGTTGTCCCAATAGTTGGGTGGGGTTGGGGATGGTGTCCAATGACCACCATGTCTCAATGGTTGGGTTTGGTGGTCTCCAACGGCCATCATGTCCCAACCCTTGGTGGTTCCCCATGATGGTTGACCATGGTTCTCCATGGCTGACCATGGTTGGGTTTGGTGTCCCCAGGGAAGCCGTGCGACCCGGCCGACCGGCAGTTCAACACGCTGATCCCGTGGTGCCTCCCGCACACCGGCAACCGCCACAACCACTGGGCGGGGCTGTACGGGCGCCTCGAGTGGGACGGCTTCTTCAGCACCACCGTCACCAACCCCGAGCCCATGGGCAAGCAGGTGGGGCCGGGTGGGCATCGCTGGCCCAGAACCTGGGTGGGGTTGGTGGGTGTGATGTTCTCTGGTGTCCCCACGTTGGGCGTGACATTCTCTGGTTGGATCTGACATTCTCTGGTGTCACTATGGTGGATGTGATGGTCTCTCGTGGTCACCACGTTGGCTCTGACGTTCTCTGGTGTCCCCACATTGGGTGTGACGTTCTCTGGTGTCCCCAGCGTTGGACCTGACGTTCCCTGGTTGGCTCTCATGTTCTCTGGTGGTCACCATGGTGGATCTCACGTTCTCTGGTGGTCACCACATTGGGCGTGATGTTCTCTGGTTGTCTCTGACGTTGTCTGGTGTCCCCACGTTGGATCTCACATTCTCTGGTGTCCCCACGTTGGGTGTGACGTTCTCTGGTGGTCACCATGGTGGATGTGACGTTCTCTGGTTGGCTCTGACGTTTGCTGGTGGTCCCCACGTTGGGTGTGACGTTCTCTGGTGGTCACCATGGTGAATCTCAGGCTCTCTGGTGGTCACCACGGTGGATCTCACGCTCTCTGGTGTCCCCACGTTGGGTGTGGTGGTCTCTGGTGTCCCCACGTTGGATCTCACGTTCTCTGGTGGTCCCCACGTTGGGCGTGGTGGTCTCTGGTGGTCCCCACGTTGGGTGTGACATTCTCTGGTGTCCCCACGTTGGGCGTGGTGGTCCCTGGTGGTCTCTGACGCTCCGGTGTCCGCGCAGGGCCGCGTTCTGCACCCCGAGCAGCACCGCGTGGTCAGCGTGCGGGAGTGCGCGCGCTCCCAGGGCTTCCCCGACACCTTCCGGCTCTTCGGCAACATCCTGGACAAGCACCGGCAGGTGGGGCCGCCGCGGCCGTGCCCGTGTCCCTGTGTCCCCGTGTCCCCGTGTCCCCTGTCCCTGTGTCCCCTGTCCCTGTGTCCCTGTGTCCCCGTGTCCCCCTGTCCCTGTGTCCTCTTGTCCTTCGGTCCCGTTGTCCTCTTGTCCTTTGGTCCCATTGTCCCCATTGTCCTTTTGTCCCCTTGTCCTCTTGTCCATTTGTCCATTATCCTCTTGTCCCCATTGTCCGTTGTCCCTTTGTCCCCATTTTCCATTGTCCTTTTTTCCCATGGTCCTCTTGTCCTTTCGTCCCTTTGTTCCCATTGCATGTTGTCCCTTTGTCCATTGTCCTCTTGTCCTTTTGTCCCTTTGTCCCCATTGCCTGTTGCCCCTTTGTCCCATTGTCCCTTTGTCCCATTGTCCTCTCGTCCCTTTGTGCCTTTGTCCCCATTGTCCCTTTGTCCCGTTGTCCCCTTACCCATTGTCCCCGTGTCCTTTTGTCCGTTGTCCTTGTGTCCCCCTGTCCCCTGTCCCATGTCTGTCTGTCCGTCTGTCCGCAGGTGGGTAACGCCGTGCCCCCCCCCCGTCTGTCTGTCCCCTGTCTGTCTGTCCCCCCGCAGGTCGGTAACGGAGTGGCCACCTGTCCCCATGTCTGTCTGTCCGTCTGTCCCCTGTCTGTCCCCCTGTCCCCATGTCTGTCTGTCTGTCTGTCCCCTGTCTGTCCCCATGTCTGTCTGTCCGTCTGTCCCCTGTCTGTCCCCCTGTCCCCATGTCTGTCCGTCCGTCTGTCCCCAGGTGGGTAACGCGGTGCCCCCTCCCCTGGCCAAGGCCATCGGGCTGGAGATCAAGGCCTGCGCTGCGGCCAAGCTGCGCCAGGACACGGCCGGTGAGTGACCCCCACGGTGTCCCCACGGTGTCCCCAAGGTGTCCCCAAGGTGTCCCCACGGCGTCCCCAAGGTGTCCCCACGGTGTCCCCAGGTGTCCCCAAGATGTCCCCAAGGTGTCCCCGCTGTCCCCTCCCTGTCACCGCCCCCATTGTCCCACAGGTCCCTGCAGTGCCCTCTCAGTGTCCCCTCGCTGTCACAGTCATTGTCCCCTCGCTGTCCCCTCGCTGTCCCCATTGTCCCACAGGTCCCCTCCCGGTCCCCAGTGTCCCCTCGCTGTCCCCATCCCCTTGTCCCTGTAGATCCTCACAGTGACCCCTCCCTGTCACAGCCATTGTCCCCGCAGGTCCCCTCGCTGTCCCCTCAGTGTCCCCGTTGTCCCCTCAGTGTCCCCACTGTCCCCGCAGTGCCCCATGGTGTCCCCTCCCTGTCACAGCCATTGTCCCCGCAGGTCCCCTCCCTATCCCCATTGTCCCCTCGCTGTCCCCTCAGTGTCCCCATTGTCCCCGCAGGTCCCCTTTGCTGTCCCCATTGTCCCCGCAGGTCCCCTCGCTGTCCCCTCAGTGTCCCCATTGTCCCCGCAGGTCCGGTGCGCGCTGTCGCCGCTGTCGCCGCTGTCCCGGTCCCGGTCCCGTCCCCGTCCGGCGCCGCCTGAGGCGGGAGCGGGGCCGGGGGTGGGGCCGGGGCTGCTGCGCCTTCGCCTTTTTTGCCTTTTTTGCCTTTTTTAAATTTTATTTTCTTTTTTATTCTCCTTTTTTCCCCTCTTTTTCTTTTTTTTTTTCCCCTTTTTTTCTCTTTTTTCCTTTAATTTTTCCTCTTTTCCTTCTTTTATTTCCCTTTTTTCTTTCTTTCTCCTTCCCCCCCCAGCTTTTTTTCCTTTTCCTTCTTTTATTTCACCATTTTTTTTCCTCTTTTTTCTTTTATTTCCCCCCTTTTTCCCCTTTTCCTTCTTTTATTTCCCTTCTCCCCCTTTTTTATTTTCCCCCCTTTTTTCCTCCCTTTTTTCTGCTTTTCCCTCTTTATTTTTCTTTCTCTTATCTTTTTCCCCCTTCTTTATATCCCTTGCTTTCCCCTCCCCCTTTTTCATCTTCTATTTCCCCCCTTTTTTCTTATTCCCCCATTTTTTCTTTTCTTTCCCCCTTTTTCTTCTCTTTTCCTCTTTTTTTTATGCTTTTCCCTCTTTTTCTTCTCTTTTTTTCTCTTTTCTCCCTCATTTTATATATTCTCCCTTCTTTACATCCCTTCCTTTATTTCTCTTTTAACCCCTTATTTTCCCCTTTCATTTTTCAATTTCCCCTCTTCTTTTTCCTCTCTCTGCATTTTTCTGTCTTTTCTCCATCTTTTCAAAACCTTTTTGATTTCACCGCTTCCCCTTTTGTTTATTTTATAATTTTTTTTTTAATTCCCCTCCCTCCACGCTCTCTGTGCTGCTCCAACCTCCCCTCAGGGCCCGGCCCCTCTCCCCCATTTTTATCGCATTGTACCCAACCGCCCCCGCGGCCGCTTTGTACAAGGTGCAACTCGATACTTTATGTAGTTTTTATATGTTGTAATATTTCTTCAAATAAATCGCGCCTATAAGTTATAAACAATTAAAACCAAATTCTCCGCGCCGCGCTACGAGTAGGCCGCAATCCCTATGGCGGCGTTGCTTAGCAACCGCTTCCCGCCATGCCCCGCGCGGGGGCGCTTCCCGCCTTCCCCTCGCCGGAAGTGGCGCGCGCGGACCGGAAGTGGCGGGCGGCCTTTCCGTTGTGGCGGCGTGAGGGCGGCGGAGGCGGCGATGCCGACCGGGGACTACGAGTGAGGGCGGGAGCGGGACCGGGAGCGGGAACCGGGATGGAAACCGGCAGCGGGAACCGGGATTGGCGCCGGGAACCGGGATTGGCGCCGGGATGGGGTTTTGAGGTGGATCGGGAGCGATGGCGTCGGGCCTGTGGCTGTGTGACGGGACCGGGAACCGGGGTTGGGATCGGGAACCGGAGTTGGGATCGGGAACCGGGACCGGGGATGGGAACCGGGATTGGGGCCGGGATGGGGCTCTGAGGTGGATCGGGAGCGGCGGCGGCGGCGTCGGGCCTGTGGCCGTGTGAGGGGAACGGGAACCGGGACCGGGAACCGGGGTTGGGATCGGGAACCGGGATCGGAAACTGGGACCGGGATCGGGATCGGGAACCGGGAACCGGGGTTGGGATCGGCAACCGGGACCGGGGATCGGGAACCGGGACCGGGGTTGGGATCAAGCACCGGAATCGGGGCCTGGTTGTGAGGCCCGGTTGGGTTCCTGGAGGTCCCGGTTCAGTGTCCCGGTCCCGGTTCGGGGTCCCGGTCTGTCCCGGTTCGGGCGGGGCGGGGGCCGTGAGGGGAAGGGAGAGGGGGGACGGACAGGAGGGGACGAGGGGACCCTGAGGGTGGCACAGGGACACCTGGGGGTGGCACAGGAGGGGACAGAGGGACCCTGAGGGTGGCACAGGGGCACTTAAGGGTGGCACCAGGTGGCACAGGGGCAGGAGGGTGGCACCAGCTGGGACAGGAGGGGACAGAGGGGACCCTCAGGGTGGCACAGGAGGGCACAGGGACACCTGGGGGTGGCACAGGTGTCACCCGAGGCCGTTGTGTCCCCACAGCTCCAAGCCCAGCTGGGCTGACCAGGTGGAGGAGGAGGGAGGAGAGGATGGTGAGTGACAGCGGGGGCACCTGGGGTGGCACCGGGGACACCTGGCACACCTGGGACACCTGGGGGTGGCACCGGGGACACCTGGGACACCTGTCTGGGTGGCACCTGGCACATCTGGGACGCCAATCAGGGGTGGCATCTGTGGCACTTGTCACACCTGTGGCATCTGTCACACCTGGGACACCTATCAGGGATGGCACCTGGGACACTTGGGACACCTGTCTGGGTGGCACCTGTCACACCTGGCATTGGTGCCACCTGTCACACCTGTGGGACCTGTCAGGGGTGGCATCTGTGGTGGCTGTAGCTGTCACTCGTGTCACTTGTGTCACACCTGGCACACCTGTCATTGGTGTCACACCTGTGGTACCTGTCACACCTGTCACACTGGGTCACCTGAGCCCAGGTGTGTCTGTCTGTCTGTCCGTCCCAGACAAGGTGACCCAGGTGGGGTTCCCTGGGGGTTCCCTGAGCCCAGGTGAGCATTACCTGGGGGTTACCTGAGCCCAGGTGTGTCTGTCTGTCCGTCCCAGACAAGGTGACCCAATGTGGGGTTCCCTGGGGGTTCCCTGAGCTCAGGTGTGTCCGTCTGTCTGTCCCAGACAAGGTGGGGTTCCCTGGGGGTTACCTGAGCCCAGGTGAGCATTACCTGAGCTCAGGTGTGTCTGTCCATCTGTCTGTCCGTCTGTCCATCCCAGACAAGGTGAGGTTACCTGAGCTCAGGTGTGTCTGTGTCCGTCTGTCTGTCCCAGACAAGATGAGGTTACCTGGGGTTACCTGAGCTCAGGTGTGTCTCTCTGTCCATCTGTCCATCTGTCCGTCTGTCCGTCCCAGACAAGGTGAGGTTACCTGGGGGTTACCTGGAGTTACCTGAGCTCAGGTGTGTCTCTCTGTCCGTCTGTCCGTCCCAGACAAGGTGAGGTTACCTGGGGTTACCTGAGCTCAGGTGTGTCTCTCTGTCCATCTGTCCGTCTGTCCGTCCCAGACAAGGTGAGGTTACCTGGGGGTTACCTGGAGTTACCTGAGCTCAGGTGTGTCTCTCTGTCCGTCTGTCCGTCCCAGACAAGGTGAGGTTACCTGGGGTTACCTGAGCTCAGGTGTGTCTCTCTGTCCATCTGTCCGTCTGTCCGTCCCAGACAAGGTGAGGTTACCTGGGGGTTACCTGGAGTTACCTGAGCTCAGGTGTGTCTCTCTGTCCGTCTGTCCGTCCCAGACAAGGTGATCACCTCGGAGCTCCTCAAGGATCTGCCCCTGCCCGGCGTCCTGGGAGGCCCCAACAGCGCCGAGGCCGAGCTGCTCAAGGGAGGTGAGAGGGGACGGGGGGGGGGGGACACACCTGGGGACACCTGGGACACACCTGGGGACACCTGGGACACACCTGGGGGACAGTAACACACCTGGGGGACAGTAACACACCTGGGGACACACCTGGGGACAGGGGGGACACACCTGGGGACACCTGGGGGATGGTGACACACATGGGGACACACCTGGGGGACAGTGACACACCTGGGGACACCTGGGGAGGGACACACCTGGAAACACACCTGACACACCTGGGGGGACATGTGGGGACACATCTGACATACCTGGGGACATTTGGGGAGTGACACACCTGGGGACACACCTGGGGAGGGACACACCTGGGACACACCTGGGGGACGAGTTACACACTTGGGGACAGGTGGGGACACACCTGACACAGCTGGGACACACCTGGGGGACAAGTGACACCCCTGGGGACAGGTGGGGACACATCCGGACACACCTGGGACACACCTGGGGACACACCCGTGTCACACCTGTGTCACACCTGGGACACACCTGTGTCACACCCGTGTCCCACCTGTGTCACACCTCTCACCCGTGTCACACCCATGTCACACCCATGTCACACCTGTGTCACACCCATGTCACACCCATGTCACACCTGTCACACCTGTGTCCCACCCGTGTCACACCCGTGTCACACCCGTGTCACACCTGTGTCACACCCGTGTCACACCCGTGTCACACCCGTGTCACACCTGTCCCTCACCTGTCCCCAGGTCCCCTCCCCCCCCCCAAGGAGGTCGTCAACGGCAACATCAAAACGGTCACCGAGTACCGCGAGGAGGAGGACGGGCGCAAGGTCAAGGTGGGCACGGGGGCACAGGTGGGCACAGGTGGGCATGGGGGGCACCTGAACCCCAAATTTGGCATCTCTGAGCCCCAGGTTTGGCACCTGAGCCCCAAATTTGGCACCTGAGCCCCAAAATTGGCACTTCTGGACCCCAAATTTGGCACCTGAACACCAAAATTGTCACCTTTGGACCCCAAATTTGGGATTTTTGGGGCTCAGGTGCTCCAGGAATTCCCAAATTTGGGACTTTTGCAATCAGATCCTCCAGGAATTCCCAAATTTGGGATTTTTTGGGATCAGGTATTCCAAGAATTCCCAAATTTGTAACTTGTGGACCCCAAATTTGGGATTTTTGGGGCTCAGATGCTCCAGGAATTCCCAAATTTTGAGATCAGGTGCTCCAGAAATCCCCAAATTTTGGATTTTTTTGGGGCTCAGATGCTCCAGGAATTCCCAAAATTGTCACCTTTGGACCCCAAATTTGGGATTTTTTGGGATCAGATCCTCCAGGAATTCCCAAATTTGGGATTTTTTGGGATCAGATGCTCCAGGAATTCCCAGATTTGGGGTTTTTTGGGGTTTCCCAGCCTCATTCCAGCGTTTTTCCCGTCCCAGATCATCCGAACGTTCCGGATCGAGACCCGCAAAGCCTCCAAGGCCGTGGCCCGGCGCAAGGTGGGGAAAATGGGGGCAAAATGGGAAAAATGGGGAAAAAATGGGATTAAAATGGGGGAAAACGGGATTGAAATGGGATAAAAATTGGATTAGAATGGGGAAAATGGGATTAAAATGGGATTAAGATGGGAAAAACGGGGAGAAATGGATTATAATGGGGAAAATGGGATTAAGATGGGGAAAATGGGGAAACCGGGATTAAAATGGGAAAATAACGTGGGAAATGGGATTAAAATGGGGTAAAAGTGGGATTAAAATGGGAAAAACGGGATTAAAATGGAACTAAAAAGGGGAAAACGGGATTAAAAGGGAAAATGGGATTAAAATGGGGAAAATGGGATTAAAATGGGGGAAAACGGGATTGAAATGGGATAAAAATTGGATTAAAATGGGATAAAATGGGATTAAAATGGGGAAAAACGAGAAAAAAATGGGGAAAAATGAGATTGAAATGGGGAAAATGGGACTGGGAATGGGAATGGGCAGACTAGATTGGGAAATGGGATTAAAATGGGATTGGAAATGGGGAAAATGGGATTGGAATGGGAAAATGGGATTTGGAATGGGGAAAAATGGGATTTACTTGGGGATGGAGAAATGGGATTTACCTGTGAAAATGGGATTGGGGAAAATGGGATTTACCTGGGAATGGGAAATGGGATTTACCAGGGAAAAATGGGATTGGGAATGGGAAAAATGGGATTTACCAGGGAAAATGGGATTGGGGAAAATGGGATTTAGCTGGGGATGGGAAACGGGATTTGGGTGTTCCCACCAGAACAAGGCTGGAATCCCGAATTTCCCGGGATTTTCAAGAATTTCCCATTTTCCCCCCAATGCCAGAACTGGAAGAAATTTGGGAATTCCGAGTTCGACGCCCCCGGGCCCAACGTGGCCACGACGACCGTGAGCGACGACGTCTTCATGACCTTCATCACCAGCAAGGAGGTACGGACACCCCTGGGACAGGTGTGCCCCAAAAACGTCCCCAGGTGTGCCCCAAAAATGCGCCCCGAAAATGTGCCCAGGTGTGCCCCAGAGGTGCCCAGGTGTGCCCCAGAAATGTGCCCAGGTGTGCCCCAAGAATGTCCCCAAGGGTGCCCCAAAAAGTGTCCTCAGGTGTGCCCAAAGGTGCCCCAAAAATGTCCCCAGGTGTGCCCCAAAAAGTGTCCTCAGGTGTGCCCCAAAAATGTCCCCAGGTGTGCCCCAAAAATGTCCTCAGGTGTGCCCAAGGGTGCCCCAAAAAGTGTCCTCAGGTGTGCCCCAAAAATGTGCCCAGGTGTGCCCCAGGTGTGCCCCAAGAAGTGTCCTCAGGTGTGCCCCAAAAATGTCCCCAGGTGTGCCCCAGAAATGTCCCCAGGTGTGCCCCCAGATGTGCCTATGTGTGCCCAGCAATGTCCCCAGGTGTGCCCCAAAAATGTCCCCAGGTGTGCCCAGGTGTGCCCAGGTGTCTCCATGCGGAACATAAATTGTGAGAAGAAGGAGAACCCCATGAACATCTCTAGGTGTTCCCCATAACCACGTGTGTCTCTAGGTGGTCATCAGAAAGGTCCCAGGTTTCTCCAGCTGTCCCCAGGTGCACTCAGGTGTCCCCACCTGTCCCTTTGCAGGACCTGAACTGCCAGGAGGAGGAGGACCCCATGAACATCTCTAGGTGTGCCCCATGACCACGTGTGTCCCCAGGTGTTTATCAGAGAGGCCCAGGTGTCCCCAGATCTGCTCAGGTGTCCCCAGCTGTCCATAGCTGTCCCCAGGTTTCTCCAGGTGTGCCCAGGTGTGCCCATGCAGAACCTGAATTGTGAGAAGAAGGAGAACCCCAGGAACATCTTTAGGTGTGCCCCCATAACCACGTGTGTTAGCAGGGAGCTCCAGGGTTGTCCCAGGTGTCCCCAGGTTTCTCCAGGTGTCCCCAGCTGTCCCCAGGTGCGCTCAGGTGTGTCCCCACCTGTCCCTTTGCAGGACCTGAACTGCCAGGAGGAGGAGGACCCCATGAACAAGCTCAAGGGCCAGAAGATCGTCTCGTGCCGCATCTGCAAGGGCGACCACTGGACCACGCGCTGCCCCTACAAGGACACGCTGGGGCCCATGCAGAAGGAGCTGGCCGAGCAGCTGGGGCTGTCCACGGGCGAGAAGGAGAAGCTCCCCGGAGGTGGGACCCCAAAATTTGGTTCTTTTGGGGTTTTTTTGGGAATTTTGGGGATTTTTCCTGGTTTTTTCCCGTTTTTGTACCATTGTGGTGGCCCCAAGGTCACCGTGGTGGCCCCATGGTGGTGACCCCATGTAGGATCTGCTGGGGCTGTCCACGGGCGAGAAGGAGAAGCTGCCCGGAGGTGGGACCCCAAAATTTGGTTCCTTTGGGGTTTTTTTGGGAATTTTGGGAATTTTTTCCCATTTTTGTACAGTTGTGGTGGCCCCAAGGTCACCACGGTGGCCCCATTGCTGCTGTTGTGGTGGCCCCGTGCAGAAGGATCTGCTGGGGTTCTCCATGGTGGAAAAGGAGAAGCTCCCTGGAGGTGGCACCCCAAAATTTGGTTCTTTTGGGGTTTTTTGGGGAATTTTGGGGATTTTTTTCTCTGCATTTTTCCCGGTTTTTTGAGGTTACGTGGCCCCAAGGTCTCCATGGTGGCCCCACTGTGGTGGCCCCGTGCAGGAGGATCTGCTGGGGCTGTCCACGGGCGAGAAGGAGAAGCTCCCCGGAGGTGGGACTCCAAAATTTGGTTCCTTTGGGTTTTTTTGGGAATTTTGGGGATTTTTCCCCCATTTTTCCCATTTTTGTACCATTCTGGTGGCCCCAAGGTCACTGTGGTGGCCCCACTGTGGTGGCCCCGTGCAGAAGGATCTGCTGGGGTTCTCCGTGGTGGAAAAGGAGGAACTTCAGGAGGTGGGACCCCAAAATTTGGGTTTTTGGGAATTTTGGGGATTTTTCCTGGTTTTTCCCCATTTTTGTACCATTGTGGTGGCCCCAAGGTCACCATGGTGACCCCATGTAAAAGGATCTGCTGGGGCTGTTCCTCACCTGTCCCACCTGTCACACCTGTGTCCCACCCGTGTCCCACCTGTGTCACACCCATGTCACACCTGTGTCACACCTGTCCCCACCTGTGTCACACCCGTGTCCCCCCTGTGTCACACCTGTCCCCACCTGTGTCGCACCTGTGTCCCACCCATGTCACACCTGTGTCCCCTCTGTGTCCCCCGTGTCCCCCCTGTGTCACACCTGTCACACCTGTGTCCCGTGTCCCCTGTGTCACACCTGTGTCCCACCTGTGTCACACCTGTCCCACCTGTGTCCCGTGTCCCCCGTGTCACACCTGTGTCCCACCTGTGTCACACCTGTGTCACACCTGTCACACCTGTGTCCCCCGTGTGTCACACCTGTCACACCTGTCCCACCTGTGTCCCACCTGTCCCTGTCCCCCCTGTCCCCCCCGCAGAGCCGGAGCCCGTGGCCGCCCAGGTGAGCAAGACGGGCAAGTACGTCCCGCCCAGCCTGAGGGACGGCGCCAGCCGGCGCGGGGAGTCCATGCAGCCCAACCGCAGAGGTGAGGGCACACCTGGGCACAGCTGGGGGCACCTGGGGAGGGTAACAACACACCTGGGCATACCTGGGGAGGGTAACAGTACACCTGGGGGGCTTTTGGGGACACCTGGGACACACCTGGGGGGCTCTGGGGATACCTGGGGGGCTTTTGGGGATACCTGGGTGGTTTTTGGGGACACCTGGGACACACCTGGGGGGCTCTGGGGATACCTGGGGCACACCTGGGGATAACTTGGTCATACCTGGGTGGCTTTTGGTCACACCTGGAGAGCTCTGGGGACACCTGGGACACCCCTGGGTGGTTTTGGGGACACCTGAGGGTACAACCCCCACCCTGGGAGTCCCCGTGGGTCTCACCTGTGTCACCCGTGCCCCCCGCCCGCAGCCGACGACAACGCCACCATCCGCGTCACCAACCTGTCGGAGGACACGCGCGAGACCGACCTGCAGGAGCTGTTCCGCCCCTTCGGCTCCATCTCGCGCATTTACCTGGCCAAGGACAAGACCACGGGCCAGTCCAAGGTGGGCGCGGGCGCGGGGGGTGCCCGGGCGTGCCCAGGTGTGCCCAGGTGTGCGCTGAGCCGGGTGTGTCCCGCAGGGCTTCGCCTTCATCAGCTTCCACCGGCGCGAGGACGCGGCCAGAGCCATCGCGGGCGTGTCCGGCTTCGGCTACGACCACCTGATCCTCAACGTGGAGTGGGCAAAGTGGGTACACACCTGGGCACACCTGGGCACACACCTGGGGGCACAGCTGGGCACAGCTGGGAACTCATGGGTACAGCTGGGTACTCACCTGGGGGGGTCACACTCACCTGGGGGGATCCATGGTGTCACACCCACCTGATCCTCAACGTGGAGTGGGCAAAGTGGGTACCTGGCACACCTGGGCACACACCTGGGCACAGCTGGGAACTCACCTGGGCACACCTGGGTACACCTGGGTACAGCTGGGGGCACCTGGGGACAGCTGGGTACAGCTGGGCATTCATCCATGGGGTAACACTCACCTGATCCTCAACGTGGAGTGGGCAAAGTGGGTACCTGGCACACCTGGGCACACTTGGGACACACCTGGGTACACCTGGTACATGTGGGGCACACCTAAATAACACCTGGGCACACCTGGGACACACCTGGGCACTCACCTGATAACACCTGGGCACACTTGGGACACACCTGGGCACACGAGACACACCTGGGCACTCATATGGGCACACCTTGGGACATACCTGGGCACACCTGGGCACACTTGGGACACACCTGGGCACACTTGGGCACACCTGGGACACACCTGGGCACTCACCTGATACACCTGGACACACCTGGATTACACCTGGGCACACCTGGGACATACCCAGGCACACTTGGGGCACACCTGGGCACACCTGGGCACACCTGGGCACACCTGGGCACCTCTCACCTCTCCCTTCTCCCTGCAGGCCCTCCACCAACTGAGCCGCTCCAGTGGATCCCAGTTTGTCCCAGTTCGTCCCAGTTCAATAAAGCTCTGGGTTCTGGCACCACCCCTGTCTGTCCCAGGATTTCTGGGGGAAAAAATGGGAATTTTGGAAAAAAATGGGAATTTTGGGTGGAAAAATTCGAATTTTGGGTAGGAAATGGGAATTTGGGTGGGAAAATCGGAATTTTTGGGGGGCAAAAATGGGAATTTTGGAGGGGAAATGGGAATTTTGGGGTAGAAAACGGGAATTTTGGGATGGGAAAATGGGAGTTTGGGTGGAAAAAAATGGGAATTTTGGGATGGAAAGATGGGAAATTGGAGGTGGGCGGAAATTGGAATTTTGGGTGGGAAATTCAGAATTTTTGGGGGGGGCAAAAATGGGAATCTTGGGGGGGAAATGGGAATTTGGGGTAAAAAAATGGGATTTGGGGTAGAAAAGTGAAATTTTTCCTGGAAAAGAAAAAAAAAGAGCCACACGAGTTCTTGGGGTTGCATCCAATTTTATTTCTGCATTTTTCCACCTTTTTTTGGGGGTTTTCTCCCATTTTTCTGGGATTTTTTTTTCCCCACATTTTTGGGGTTTTCCTTTTTTTGTTGTTTCCCCCCCATTTTTTGGGGTGATTTCCCCTTGATTTGGGGGGAACTTTGGGGGATCCCAGAATTCTTCTGGAAATCCCAAAATTCCCCTCGGAGATCCCAAAACTCCCCTTGAGGACCCCAAATTTTTCCTGTAAGACCCCAAAATTCCCCAAAATCCGTCTCAGAGACCCCAAAATTCCCAAATTCCCAAATTTTCTCCCCCTTCAATTTTTCCTTCTCCGGGCCCGTCCCGGCCGAGGGAAATTTGGGGTTTTTTGGGGGCTCAGGAGTTTCCCACGGCGGGATTTGGGATTTTTGGGGTGTCCTGGGTGGGATTTGGGATTTTTGGGGTGTCCTGGGTGGGGTTTGGGGTTTTTGGGGTGTCCTGGGTGGGATTTTGGGGTTCCAGGTGTGAATTTTGGGGTTCCAGGTGTGGATTTTGGGCTCCTTTTCCGTCGTTTCGGGGCTCGGGGCGCGGCCGAGCGGCTTCGCTTCCTCTTGGAGCTGCCAGGGAACAAATCTGGGGGAGAAACAGGGGAAAATGGGAATTTAGAGGGGAAAAAACGGGATTTTGGGGGGAAAAAATTGGGATTTCGGGGGAAAAAAATGGGATTTTGGGGGGGAAAATGGGATTTTGGGGGAAAAAAATGGGATTTTGGGGGGGGAAAATGGGATTTTGGGGGAAAAAATGGAATTTCGGACGGAAAATTGGGGTTTAGGAGAATAAAAATGGGATTTGAGGGGAAAAAAATTGGGATTTGGAGGGAAAAAAAGGGTTTGGGGAGGAAAAAAAAGGAGATTAAGGATAAAATGTTGGGATCTGGGGGGAAATGTTGGGATTTGGGGTGGCCCCGGAAGTGTCAGAGCGTTTACTTTGATCCCAAATCACGGAAATTCAGCAATTTTGGCCTCATCAGCCACTTCCGGGGAGGGAAAATCCCAAAATCCCCTGAAACGCCCCCAAATTTTCCTTTATCCCCCCCAGACTCAGCGGGAAACCCCAAAATTTGCTTTTGTTTCCCCCCAAACTCATCTGGAAACCCCAAAATTCCCCTGGAACGCCCCAAAACTGCCCTTGATCCACCCCAGGTTCAACGGAAAACCCCAAAATTTCCTTTTCTTCCCCCAAAATTCACCTGGATTCCCCCAAACCTCACCTGGAACTCCCCAAAAATCACCTGGAACACCCCAAAATTTCCTTTTATCTCCCCCAGACCTCACCTGGAACTCCCCAAACCTCACCTGGAACACCTCAAAATTCACCTGGAACACCCCAAAACCTCACCTGGAACACCCAAACCTCACCTGGAACTCCCCAAACCTCACCTGGAACACCCCAAATCCCCCTTTACACCCCCAAACCTCACCTGAACCCCCCAAACTCCCCCCCCCACTCTCACCTGCGTCGGGCTCCTCCCCCAGCTCCTCTCTGTAATATTCGGCCTCGTCCTCGTCCGACGCCTCGGCCTCACCTGGCCCAGGTGCGCCGGGGTCCTCGACGTCGCCGTCACCCCCGGGGCCACCTGTGGTGGTGGCACCTGTGGGGACACCTGGGGGGACACCTGGGGCCCGGCCCATCCCGGCCAGGCTGCGCTCCCTGGGAGAGACGGGGACAGGGACAGGTGAGGGGACAGGTGAGGGGACAAAGGACAGGTGGGGACACGGACAAGTGGGACAGGTGGGGACACGTGGGAACAGGTGAGGACACAGGTGAGGGGACAACAGACAAGTGGGGACAGGTGAGACAAGGACACGTGGGACACGTAAGGGGACAGGTGGGGACAGGTGAGACAAGGACAGGTGGGGACAGGTGAGGGGACAAAGGACAGGTGAGACAGGTGAGGGGACAATGGACAGGTGGGGACAGGGACAGGTGAGGGGAGGTGGGGACAAGTGAGCCAGGGACACCTGGGAGAGTGTCACCTGTGCCACCCTGTCCTCACCTGTATCACCTGAGCTTCACCTGTGTCACCTGAGCCTCACCTGGGAGGACCCTGCCACCCTCACCTGTGTCTCAGTGTCACCTGTGCCTGTCCCCTCACCTGTACCTGTAACTGTGTCTCACCTGTGCTGTTCCCCGTCCCTGCCCCCTCACCTGTCCCCTCACCAGTCTCACCTGTGTCTCACCTGTCCCTGTCCCCTTACCTGTCTCCCTGTCTCACCTGTGCCCAATCTCTCACCTGTCCCCTGTGTCTCACCTGTCCTGGTGTCCCACCTGTCCCTGTCCCTGTCTCACCTGTGCCATTCTCACCTGTCCCTGTCCCCTGTCCCTGTCCCCATCTCACCTGTCCCTATCCTGTCCCTGTCACACCTGTCCCTGTCCCACCTGGGCCATTCTCACCTGTCCCCATCTCACCTGTCCCTGTGTCTCACCTGTCCCCATCTCACCTGTCCCTGTCCCTATCTCACCTGTCCCCTCACCTATCCCCATCTCACCTGTGCTGTTCTCACCTGTCCCTGTCCATCTCACCTGTCCCCATCTCACCTGTCCGTGTCTCACCTGTCCCTGTCCCTGTGTCTCACCTGTCTCCATCACACCTGTCCCTGTCCCCATCTCACCTGTGCCATTCTCACCTGTCCCCTCACCTGTCCCCATCTCACCTGTCCCTGTCCCCATCTCACCTGTCCCCATCTCACCTGTCCCTGTCCCCATCTCACCTGTCCCCATCTCACCTGTCCCCTCACCTGTCCGTGTCTCACCTGTCCCTGTCCTATCTGTCCCTGTGTCTCACCTGTCCGTGTCTCACCTGCGCCATTCTCACCTGTCCCCTCACCTGTCCCCATCTCACCTGTCCGTGTCTCACCTGTGCCGTTCGCGCTGTTTCCGTTTCCTCTCCAGGTTCTGCTCCTGCAGCCGCCGCCGCTCCGCCCTCACCTGGAGGCGCCGCTCGCGCCGGGCCTGGAGCTCACGGAGCTCCTGCTCACCTTTGGGGGCTGCAGGTGAATGAGACACACCTGGGTTACACCTGGGATACACCTGGGATACCCACAGACACCTGGGATACACCTGGGTTACACCTGGGATACACCTGGGTTACACCTGGGATACACCTGGGATACACCTGGGATACACCTGGGTACAGCCTGGGATACACCTGGGATACACCTGGGTACAGCCTGGAGCTCACGGAGCTCCTGCTCACCTTTGGGGGCTGCAGGTGAATGAGACACACCTGGGTTACACCTGGGATACACCTGGGATACCCACAGACACCTGGGATACACCTGGGTTACACCTGGGATACACCTGGATACACCTGGGATACACCTGGGTACAGCCTGGAGCTCACGGAGCTCCTGCTCACCTTTGGGGGCTGCAGGTGAATGAGACACACCTGGGTTACACCTGGGATACACCTGAGATACCCACAGGAACCTGTGATACACCTGAAATACACCTGGGTTACACCTGAGATACACCTGAGATACACCCTGAGATACCCACGGGAACCTGTGATACACCTGAAATACACCTGGGTTACACCTGGGTACACCTGAGATACACCTGAGCACAGCCTGGAGGGCCCTGAGCTCCTCCTCACCTTTGGGGGCTGCAGGTAAGGTAAATACACCTGGGTTACACCTGGGATACACCTGGGTTACACCTGGGCACAAGCAAGATCCTCCTCATATTGTCACAGGTGTCCCCAGGTGTGTCCCAGGTGTGTCACCTGTCCCCAGGTGTGTCCCTCACTGTCACTCACCCAGGCCATGGTACAGGTGTGTCCCCAGGTGTGTCCCAGGTGTGTCCCAGGGTGTGTCCCTCACTGTCACTCACCCAGCCCGTGGTACAGGTGTGTCCCAGCTGTGTCACCTGTCCCAGGTGTGTCCCCAGGTGTGTCCCAGGTGTGTCACTCACTGTCACTCACCCAGCCCGTGGTACAGGTGTGTCCCCAGGTGTGTCACCTGTCCCTGTCACTCACCCAGCCCATGGTACAGGTGTGTCACTCACCTGTCCCAGGTGTGTCCCAGGTGTGTCCCCAGGTGTGTCACTCACTGTCACTCACCCAGCCCGTGGTACAGGTGTGTCCCCAGGTGTGTCACCTGTCCCCAGGTGTGTCCCAGGTGTGTCCCAGGTGTGTCCCCAGGTGTGTCACTCACCTGTCCCAGGTGTGTCCCAGGTGTGTCACTCACTGTCACTCACCCAGCCCGTGGTACAGGTGTGTCCCCAGGTGTGTCACCTGTCCCCAGGTGTGTCCCAGGTGTGTCCCAGGTGTGTCCCAGGTGTGTCACTCACTGTCACTCACCCAGCCCGTGGTACAGGTGTGTCCCCAGGTGTGTCACCTGTCCCCAGGTGTGTCCCAGGTGTGTCCCAGGTGTGTCCCAGGTGTGTCACCTGTCCCCAGGTGTGTCACCTGTCCCAGGTGTGTCCCAGGTGTGTCCCAGGTGTGTCCCAGGTGTGTCACCTGTCCCAGGTGTGTCCCAGGTGTGTCACTCACTGTCACTCACCTGTCCCAGGTGTGTCCCTCACTGTCACTCACCCAGCCCGTGGTACAGGACGTTGCCCTGGCCCAGCCCCTCCTCCACCTTCAGCAGCTGCAGCGTCAGACGGGGCCCGATCTGGGACAGGGACAGGGACAGACAGGGGGGACACACAGGGGGACACGGGGACAGGGACAGACAGGGGGACAGGGACAGACAGGGGGACAGGGACAGACAGGGGGACATGGGACAGGGGACAGGGACAGGGACAGACAGGGGGACAGGGACAGGGGGACACGGGGACACACAGGGGACACACAGGGGACAGGGGACAGGGACAGACAGAGGGACAGGGACAGACAGGGGGACACGGGGACACAGGGACAGGGACAGGGGACAGACATGGGGACACGGGGACAGGGACAGACAGGGGGACACGGGGACATGGGGACACGGGGACAGACGGGGACACGGGGACAGGGACAGACACGGGGACAGGGACAGACAGGGGGACACGGGGACAGGGGACAGGGACAGGGGACAGACATGGGGACACAGGGACAGGGACAGACAGAGGGACATGGGGGACACGGGGACAGGGACAGACAGGGGGACACGGGGACATGGGGACACGGGGACAGGGACAGGGGGACACGGGGACACACAGGGGACACAGGGACACGGGGACAGGGACAGAGGACAGGGACAGACAGGGGGACATGGGGACACACAGGGGACACGGGGACACGGGGACAGGGACAGGGGACAGACATGGGGACACGGGGACACGGGGACAGACAGAGGGACATGGGGACAGACAAGGGAACACGGGGACAGACAGGGGGACACGGGGACAGGGACAGATGGACACGGGGACAGACAGACACGGGGACAGGGACAGGGACACACAGGTGACACGGCACAGGGACAGATGGACACGGGGACAGACAGACACGGGGACAGGGACAGGGACACACAGGTGACACGGCACAGGGACAGACGGACACGGGGACAGGGACACACGGACAGGGACGGGGGGGGGACAGGGACAGACGCACAGGACACGGGGACAGTGACGGACAGAGGGACACGGCGGGGACAGGGGGACACTCGGTCAGTGTCACAGCGCTCTGTGTCACCCCAGCGTCCCCAATGTCCCCAGTGATGTCCCCGATGTCCCCGATGTCCCCTCAGTGCCACCTCTGTCACCCTGATGGCGCTCTGCCGTGTCACCCCAATGTCCCCAATGTCCCCACTGTCACCTCTGTCACCCTGATGGCGCTCTGCTGCGTCACCCCAATGATGTCCCCAATGTCCCCAATGTCCCCATTGTCACCTCTGTCACCCTGATGGCGCTCTGCTGCGTCACCCCAATGATGTCCCCAATGTCCCCATTGATGTCACCTCTGTCACCCTGATGGCGCTCTGCCATGTCACCCCAATGTCCCCAATGTCCCCATTGATGTCACCTCTGTCACCCTGATGGCGCTCTGCTGCGTCACCCCAATGTCCCCAATGTCCCCATTGATGTCACCTCTGTCACCCTGATGGCGCTCTGCCGCGTCACCCCAATGATGTCCCCAATGTCCCCCAATGTCCCCATTGTCACCTCTGTCACCCTGATGGCGCTCTGCTGTGTCACCCCAATGTCCCCAATGTCCCCATTGTCACCTCTGTCACCCTGATGGCGCTCTGCTGCGTCACCGCGTTCCCTCTCCCCGCGCAGTTCTGGGGCAGTTCCAGAACGTTCTGGGGGCCCGTCCGGCTCCGCCTCGCTCTCGGACAGGGCGGCGTCACTGCGGGGACACAGGGACAGGTGACACGGGGACAGGGGACACGGGGACAGGGGACACGGGGACACAGGGACACGGGTGACATGGGGACAGGTGACACGGGGACACAGGGACACAGGGACACAGGGACAGGTGACACGGGGACAGGGGACACGGGGACAGGGGACACGGGGACAGGTGACACGGGTGACACGGGGACAGGGGACACGGGGACACAGGGGACAGGTGACACGGGGACACAGGGACACGGGGACAGGTGACACGGGTGACACGGGGACAGGGGACACGGGGACACAGGAGACAGGTGACAGCTCTCGGACAGGGTGGCATCACTGCGGGGACACAGGGACAGGTGACACGGGGGACAGGGGACACAGGGACACGGGGACACGGGTGACACTGGGGCAGGTGACACAGGGACAGGGACAGGTGACACGGGGACAGGGGACACGGGGACAGGACGGCGTCACTGCGGGGGGGACACAGGTGACACAGGGGACATCTCTGGAGGTGTCCCCAGGTCTCATATCCCCATGTCCCCCCCCCAGTGTCCCCCAGGTGTCCCCAATGTCCCCAAGGTGTCCCCAATGTCCCCAAAGTGTCCCCCAGGTGTCCCCAATGTCCCCAATGTCCCCGTACCCCGTGAGCAGCTCGCTGACGTACTCCATCCGCGCCAGGTGTCCCCAATGTCCCCAATGTCCCTAAAGTGTCCCCAAGATGTCCCCAATGTCCCCAAGGTGTCCCCAATGTCCCCAATGTCCCTGTGATGTCCCCAATGTCCCCAGGGTGTCCCCAACGTCCCTAGAGTGTCCCTAATGTCCCTGTGGTGTCCCCAATGTCCCCAATGTCCCCAGGGTGTCCCCAAGGTCCCTAGGGTGTCCCCAATGTCCCCAATGTCCCCGTACCCCATCAGGAGCTCGCTGACGTCCCCCATCCGCGCCAGGTGTCCCCAGGGTGTCCCCAATGTCCCCAATGTCCCCAATGTCCCCAGTGTCCCCAATGTCCCCAATGTCCCCAATGTCGCCTCACCCCGTGAGCAGCTCGCTGACGTCCCCCATCCGCGCCAGGTGTCCCCAATGTCCCCATGTCCCCAATGTCCCCAGTGGTCCCCAGTGTCCCCTATGTCCCCAATGTCCCCAATGTCCCCAATGTCCCCGTACCCCATCAGCAGCTCGCTGACGTCCCCCATCCGCGCCAGGTGTCCCCAATGTCCCCAATGTCCCCAGGGTGTCCCCAGTGTCCCCAATGTCCCCAATGTCCCCAGTGTCCCCAATGTCCCCAATGTCCCCAGTGTCCCCAATGTCCCCAATGTCCCCAATGTCCCCAATGTCCCCGTACCCCATCAGGAGCTCGCTGACGTCCCCCATCCGCGCCAGGTGTCCCCAATGTCCCCAATGTCCCCAGGGTGTCCCCAAGGTCCCTAGGGTGTCCCCAATGTCCCCAATGTCCCCAATGTCCCCAATGTCCCCAATGTCCCCATGTACCCCATCAGGAGCTCGCTGACGTCCCCCATCCGCGCCAGGTGTCCCCAATGTCCCTGTGATGTCCCCAATGTCCCCAATGTCCCCAGTGTCCCCAATGTCCCCAATGTCCCCAGTGTCCCCAATGTCCCCAGTGTCCCCAATGTCCCCAATGTCCCCAATGTCCCCAGTGTCCCCAATGTCCCCAATGTCCCCGTACCCCGTGAGCAGCTCGCTGACGTCCCCCATCCGCGCCAGGTTCGGGAATTTCTCGCCGAGGATTTTGCGGAGGCCCCGGCTGAGCCCGACCGGAACCACCCGGACGCTGCTGGGGTGGGGGAAAAACACAGGAAATTGGGAAAAATGGGAAAATTCCGGGGAAAATGGGGAAATCCTGGGAAAAATGGGGATCTGGGATAAATCCTGGGAAAAAATGAGGAAATATGGGACAAAAATGGGGGAAAATGGGGGGGAAATGGAGGAAAAATCCTGGGAAAATGGAAAAATCTGGGGAAAATGGGGGGAAAATGGGGGGAAAAAAGGGGGGGGAATGGGAAAAATGAGGGAAAAATGGGGGGAAAATGGAGGAAAAATGGGGAAAATCCTGGGGAAAAAATGGGGGGAAAATGGGGAAAAAAGGGGAAAATCCTGGGGAAAAAATGGGGGGGAAAATGGGGAAAAAGGGGGAAAATGGGGAAAAACAGGGAAAAAAAGGGGAAAAATGGGGGAAAAGGAGGGGGAATTGGGGGGGATAATGAGGAACAATGAGGAAGAATGGGGGGAAAATGGGGGGAAATGGGGGAAAAAGGGGACAAAAGAGGGGGACAAGGCACACAAGAGGGCAAAATGGGGGGAAAATGGGGAAAAATGGGGAAATTGGGGAAATCCTGGGAAAATTCTGGGAAAAAGGGGGGGGGGGGGAATGGGGGCACATCCTGGCCAAATAGGGCCAAATGGCCCACAAATGGGGGGAACATGGGGGACAAAAATAGGGAGAAAATGGGCAAAAAAAGGGGAAACAACGACCTGGGAAACTCCTGGAGCAAATTCTGGGGGAAAATGGGGAGAAAATGGGGAAAAAAGGGGAGAAAATGGGGGGAAAATGGGGGAAAAAGGGGAATTTGGGAATGGGGAACCACCCGGCACTGCTGGGACGGGGGAAAAACGGGGAAATTGGGAAAATCCTGGGAAAAATAGGGAAATTCTGGAAAATGGGAATTTGGGCAAATCCTGGGGAAAAAATGAGGAAAATATGGGAAATAATGGGGGAAAATGGGAAAAATCCTGGGAAATTCTGGGGAAAAAATGGGGGGAAAATAGGAGAAAAATATGGGGGAAAATATGGGGGAAAAATATGGGGGACAATGGGGGCACAAGGGGGGAAACAATGGGAACAATTCTGGGAACAAAACAGGCAAAATGGGGGGGGGGCAGGGAAAAATGGGGGGAAAATGGCGAAATTGGGGGAAAAATAGCAAAAACAGGGGAAAATTGGGGAAATTGGGAAATTCTGGGAAAAAAAAGGAAAAAATGAGGAAAAAAATTGGGGGAAAATGGGGGGAAAATGAGGAAAAACACAGGAATTTGGGAAAAAAATGGGAATTGGAGATTTTGGGAATTTGGGGATTTCAGGAACTTGGGAATTCAGAAATTTGGGGAAATCAGGAAATTGGAAATTCAGGAATTCAGGACTTTGGGATTTTGGGACTTTAGAATTCAGGGATTTGCGAATTCACGAATTTGGGACTTTGGGATTTTGGGAATTCAGGGATTTGGGAATTCAGGAATTTGGGACTTTGGGGATTCCGGAATTTGGGAATTCAGGATTTGAGAATCCGGGATTTTGGGTATTTGGGAATTCAGGAATTTGGGGAATTCAGGAAATTGGGAATTTGGGACATTGGGAATTGGGGAATTCGCGACTTTGGGATTTGGAGAATTCGGGACTTTGGGAATTTGGGAAATCGCGGATTCAGGATTTTGGGAATTCAGGAATTTGGGATTTTGGGAATTGGGGGATTCGGGAATTTGGGAATTGAGGAGTTTGGGATTTTGGGGATTTGGTAATTGGGAATTCAGGATTTTTGGGATTTCGGGAATTTGGGAATTCACGAATTTGGGACTTGGGGAATTTGGGAATTCAGGGATTTGGGATTTCGGGAATTTGGGAATTCAGCTCTCACTAGTGGCGGAACTCCAGCAGCTGGGACTCGGCGTCGTAGGAGATCAGCAAACAGCGACGGATGGAGTTCAGGTTCACCTGTACGGGAAAATGGGGAAAAATGGGCAATAAGGACACAAAAAGGGACAAGAAATGGGACAAAAAATGGGAAAAGAAGGGGAAAAATAGGAAAAAAATGGAAAAATTTCCCCTTGCCCTGTTCCCAGACCCCAAACCCCATTTAATAATTCCCAATTAATTCCCAGTTAATTCCTGGTTAATTCCTGATTAATCCCAAATAAATTCCCAAGAACTTCCTGATAAATTCCCCATTAATTCCCCATAAATTCCCCATTAGTTCCCAATAAGTTCCCCATTAATTCCTGATTAATTCCCCAATTAATTCCCAGATAATTCCCAATTGAATCCTGATTAATCCCCATTAATTGCTGACCCTGTGGACGTTGATGGCCAGGAACATCCCCTGGAACAATCCTGAGAAATTCCCAATAAATTCCCAATAAATTCCCAATGAATTCCGATAAATTCCCAATTAATCCCTAACTAATTCCCAATTAATTTCCCATTAATTGCTGACCCTGTGGACGTTGATGGCCGGGAACATGCCCTGAAACATCCCTGAGAAATTCCCAATAAATTCCCGATAAATTCCCTGAGAAATTCCCAATTTAATTCCAATAAATTCCCAATAAATTCCCGATAAATTCCCCATTAATTCCCCATTAAGTCCCCGATAAATTCCCAATTAAATCCCAATTAATTCCCCGTTAATTGCTGACCCTGTGGGCGTTGATGGCGGGGAAAATCCCCTGGAACATCCCTGAGGAATTCCCAATTAATTCCCAATTAAATCCCAATAAATTCCCAATAAATTCCCCATTAATTCCCCAATAAATTCCCAATAAATTCCCAATTAAATCCTGATTAAATCCTGATTAATTGCTGACCCTGTGGACGTTGATGGCGGGGAACATCCCCTGGAACATCCCTGAGGAATTCCCAATAAATTCCCCGATTAATTCCCAATTAAATCTCAATTAATTCCCAATAAATTCCCAATTAAATCCTAATTAATTCCCAATTAAAGGGTGATTAATTGCTGACCCTGTGGACGCTGATGGCCGGGAACATCCCCTGGAACAACCCTGAGAAATTCCCAATAAAATCCCAATAAATTCCCGATAAATTCCCCAATTAATTCCCAATTAAATCTCAATTAATTCCCAATAAATTCCCAATTAAATCCTAATTAATTCCCAATTAATTCCTGATTAATTGCTGACCCTGTGGACGCTGATGGCCGGGGACATGCCCTGGAACAACCCTGAGAAATTCCCAATAAATTCCCAATAAATTCCCGATAAATTCCCCGATTAATTCCCAATTAAATCTCAATTAATTCCCAATAAATTCCCAATTAAATCCTAATTAATTCCCAATTAATTCCTGATTAATTGCTGACCCTGTGGACGCTGATGGCCGGGGACATCCCGTGGAACAATCCTGAGAAATTCCCAATAAATTCCCAATAAATTCCCGATAAATTCCCCGATTAATTCCCAATTAAATCTCAATTAATTCCCAATAAATTCCCAATTAAATCCTAATTAATTCCCAATTAATTCCTGATTAATTGCTGACCCTGTGGACGTTGATGGCGGGGAACATCCCCTGGAACATCCCGGCCGTCAGCCTGAGCTCCATCCGCGCCTGCGCCCCGAAATTCCCCAAAACCAACAGAGGGGGGTGCAGGAACTGCTGCTCGTGCATGCGGTGCCTCTTCAGCGCTGAGACCACGTCTCTCACCAGGGAATACTGAAATGAGGGAAAAAATGGGGAAAAAATTAATTAAATTAGGAAAAACCTGATTAAAATAGCAAAAATCCCCATTAAAATTGCATTAAATTCCATTAAAATCCACCCCAGAACTGCTGCTCGTGCATGCGGTGCCTCCTCAGGGCTGAGACCACGTCTCTCACTAAGGAATACTGAAATCAGGGAAAAAACTAATTAAATTAGGAAAAAATTGATTAAAATACACAAAATCCACATTAAAATTGCATCAAATTCCATTAAACCCCATTAAAATCCCTCCCAGAACTGCTGCTCGTGCATGCGGTGCCTCTTCAGCGCTGAGACCACGTCTCTCACCAGGGAATACTGAAATGAGGGAAAAAATGGGGAAAAATGGGAAGAAAAGGGTTAAATCCTGAAAAAAACCCATCAAAATCTGGGGAAAATCCTCAGAAATTCCCCAAACTCCCGGAGCCATCAGCGCGTTTACTTTGGGATCAATCACAGAATTTGGGATCATTCTGGAAAATTCTTCATCCTCTGGCTCCGGGACCCCAAAAGTTCCTAAAATTTTCCCAAAATTCCCCAAAAATTCCCAAAATTTTCCCGAAATTCTGGAATTTCTGGACGTACCTGGAGCACTTTGAAGGTCAGGGTGGGACCCCCCGGCAGGCGGAAAAGTTTCTGGGGAAGAGGAAAAGATTCAGAAATGGGAAAAATTCAGGGAAATTCTGGGGAAAATTCCCAGAAAAATCCTGGGAAAATTCAGGGAAAATTCCCCCAAGAAGTCCTACAAAAATCTGGAGAAAATCCCATAAAAATCCTGAAAAAATCCCATAAAAATTCCAGGAAAAATCTGGAAAAAATCCTCAGAAAAATCTCAGAGGAAAACCCTCAGAAAACTCCCGGGATAATCCTGGAAAAATTCTGGGAAATTCTGGGGAAAAACCTGGGAAAAGTCCCAAAAAATCTGGAAAAAATCCCGAAGAATCCTGGGAAAATTCTGGAAAAAAATCCCACAAAAATCCTCAGAAAATTCCCAGAAAATCCTAGAAAAAAAATCCCAGAAAAATCCAAAGAAAATCCTGGGAAAATCCTGGACAAAATCCCAGGAAATTTGGGGAAAAATCCTCGGACAATCCTGGGCAAATCCCAAGAAATTCTCAGAAAAATTCCCAGAAAAATTCCCGGAAAAATTCCAGGAAAAATCCTGGAAAAATTCTGGAAAAACATCCCAGAGAAAATCAAATTAAAATTCCCATAAAATTCCCCAAAAAAATCCCATAAAAATGCAAAAAAATTCCCCTAAAATCCCCAAACTCCCGGAGCCATCAGCGCGTTTACTTTGGGATCAATCACAGAATTTGGGATCATTCTGGAAAATTCTTCATCCTCTGGCTCCGAGAGGGATTTGGGACCCCAAAAATCCCCAAAAATTCCCCAAAAATTCCCAATTTTCCGGAATTTTCCGGAATTCTCACCAGGTTGACGCCGCTCTGGGATTTGCTGAGCACCAGGAACTGCGACACCCCCAAGGGCCCGGCCACGGCCACCAGGTCCCGCAGGGAATTGCGCCGGCGCACCTGGAAACCCCAAAAAAATCCCTAAATCCCAAATTCCTGAGGGAGCCTAAAAATCCTGAATCCTAAATTGCCGAAATCCCAAAAATTCTGGGAGAGAAACCTCGAAATTCCCAGAAAAAACACCCAAAATTCCTTGAAAAAACTTTGAAATTCTGGGAAAAAACCCTGAGATTCCTGGAAAACCCAAAAAATTCCTAAATCCCAAATTCCTGAGGGATCCCAAAAATCCTGAATCCTAAATTCCTGAAATCCTAAAAGTTCTGGAAGAGAAAGCTGGAAATTCCTGGAAAAAAAACCCCAAAATTCCAGAGAAAACACCCCAAAATTCCTGAAATCCCCAAAATCCTAAATCCCAAATTTCCTCAGGGATCCTAAAAATCCTGAATCCCAAATTCCTGAAATCCCAAATCGCAGTGAGCCCAAATCCCAAATCCCAATATCCCAATATCCCAATATCCCAAATCCCAGCGATCCCAAATCCCAAATTTCAGTGATCCCAAACCCCAGCGACCCCAAATCCCAAATCCCAAATCCCAGGGATCCCAAACCCCAATATCCTGAATCTCAGAATCCCAAAATCCCAATATCCCAAACCCCAGTGATCCCAAATCCCAAATCCCAGTGATCCCAAATCCCCCAAACCTCAAGATCCCAAATCCCAGCGATTCCAAATCCCAAATATCGCAAATCCCAGTGATCCCAAACCCCAGTGATCCCAAACCCCAGTGATCCCAATATCCCAATATTCCGAATCTCAGAATCCCCAGCATCCCAAATTTCTCAAATACCAGTGATCCCAACATCCCAAATCCCAGTGATTCCAAATCGCAAATATCTCAAATCCCAGCGATCCCAAATCCCAATATCCCAAATCCCAGTGATCCCAAATCCCCCAAATCCCAAATCTCCCAATCCCAGTGATTCCCAGTATCCCAAATATCCCAAATCCCAGTGATCCCAAATCCCCCAAATCCCAATATCTCAAACCCCAGTGATCCCAAATCCCGGTGATCCCAAATCCCAGCGATCCCAAATCCCAAACCCCAGTGATCTCAAATCCCAGTGATCCCAAATTCCAGTGACCCAAATATCCCAAATTTCAGTGATTCCAAATCCCAAAATCCCAAATCCCAAAATCCCAAATCCCAGTGATCCCAAACCCCAGTGATCCCAAATCCCAATATCCAAATCCCAGCAATCCCAAACCCCAGTGATCCAAACATCCCAAATTTCAGTGATCCCAAATCCCAAATATCCCAAATCCCCACGATCCCAAATCCCAAATCAAACCCCAGTGATCCCAAACATCCCAAATCCCAGAGATCCCAAACCCCAGTGACCCCAAACCCCAGTGACCCCAATATCCCAAATTTCAGTGATTCCAAATCCCAGGCGATCCCAAACATCCCAATTCCCCAAATCCCAAATATCCCAAATCCCAGTGATCCCAAATCCCTGAAATCCCAGTGATCCCAAATCCCAAATATCCCAAAACCCCAAATCCCAGTGATCCCAAATCCCAAATCCCTGAAATCCCAGTGATCCCAAATCCCAAATATCCCAAAACCCCAAATCCCAGTGATCCCAAATCCCAAATCCCTGAAATCCCAGTGATCCCAAATCCCAGTGACCCCAATATCCCAAATCCCAGTGATCCCAAATCCCAAATATCCAAATCCCCCAAATTCCAATGTCCCCAATCCCAATATCCAAATCCCACTGATCCCAAACCCCAGTGATGGTGATCCCAAATGTCCCCAATGTCCCCAATGCCCCCAACGTCCCCAGTCCCAGCTGCATCCCCAATGTCCCCAATGTCCCCCAAGGTGTCCCCAAGGTGTCCCCAGTGTCCCCAATGTCCCCAGTGTCCCCCAGGTGCCACCTGCAGGTTCCTGACCATGAAAAGTTCCAGAACCTTCCTGAGATTCCTCCTGAGCTCATTCCCTGTGTCCCAAATGTCCCCAATCCCAGTGATCCCAGTGTGTCCCCAATGTCCCCAAGGTGTCCCCAATGTCCCCAAGGTGCCCCCAGTGTCCCCCAGGTGCCACCTGCAGGTTCCTGGCCGTGAAAGGTTCCAGAACCTTCCTGAGATTCCTCCTGAGCTCATTCCCTGTGTCCCAAATGTCCCCAATCCCAGTGATCCCAGTGTGTACCCAGTGTCCCCAAGGTGTCCCCAATGTCCCCAAGGTGCCCCCAGTGTCCCCCAGGTGCCACCTGCAGGTTCCTGGCCGTGAAAGGTTCCAGAACCTTCCTCAGGTCCTTGCAGAGGCTCCGGAGGCTCCTCCCGGCGCGGCCGCGGGCGAACACGAACGAGTGAGGGACGGAGGAGAATTCCTGCTCCGAGCGCTGCCGGGCCTGGGCGCGCTGCTGCCGCTGGAAGCGGCTCTGGAAGGGTTAAATGAAGCCCGAAATTAGCATAAATTAGCATAAATTAATATAAAATATCCTAAATTCCTGCTGGGAACACGAACGAGTGAGGGACGGAGGAGAATTCCTGCTCCGAGCGCTGCCGGGCCTGGGCGCGCTGCTGCCGCTGGAAACGGCTCTGGAAGGGTTAAATGAAGCCCGAAATTAGCATAAATTAGCATAATTTAGCATAAAAATTAAAAAACGTTTCCAAAAAAAATCCCAGGATTCCAGGTAGGAACAAGGACGAGTGAGGGACGGAGGAGAATTCGTTGCTGCCTCTGGAAACGGCTCTGAAAAGGTTAAATCGAACCAGAAATTAGCATAAATTAGCATAAAATAAAAAACATTAAAGATAAAATCCCAAAATTCCTGCTGAGAACACAAACGATTGAGGGACAGAGGAGAATTCGTTGCTGCCGCTGGAAACGGCTCTGAAAGGGTTAAATCAAATCAAAAATTAGCATAAATTAGCATCAATTAGCATCAATTATATTAAAATGATAAGACGAAAACAAACAAATCCCTAAAAAATCCCAGAATTTGGGAATTTCCAGCCCCAAATCCTGCTCGGAATGGCTCTGAAAGGGTTTAAAAAAAAAAAAACACGCAGAAATTAGCATAAATTAGCATAAATTATCTTTAAAAACCCCAAATTTTTGGGACTTTTCAGCCCCAAATCCTGCTGGAAACGGCTCTTAAAGGGTTAAAACTATCCTAAGTTATCCTAAATTATCCTTAAATATCAAAAAAATCCAAAAAAATCCCAAAATTTGGGAATTTCCAGCCCCTCCTGACCCCAAAATTCCAATTTTTGAACCCAAAATGGGCTGAAAACCCCAAACTTTTCTGATTTTTTCCCCTCACGATCCCAAAATTTCGGGATTTTTTCCCCTCACAATCCCAAATTTTTGCGATTTTCCCCCTCACGATTCCCAAAACTTCGGGATTTTTTCCCCTCACGATTCCCCAAATTTTGGGATTTTTTTCCCTCAGAATTCGCAAATTTTGGGGATTTTTCCCGGAAATTTTCGGCTCCCGCCGTTTTTATCGCCCCTCCCGCCATTCCCGACGCCCCGCCGCTCCCCAGAGCCCTCCCCATCCCGGTTTATCCCGTTTTTTTCTCGGTTTTTCCCGTTTTTTTTTTTTCCCCGTTTTTTCCCAATTTTTTCCCGTTTTTTTCCCCCGACCTTTCCGGGCCGCCCCATCCCGGCGCCGCCGCGTGGCCTGGCTACTTTCCCCGGTGTCCCCGCAGCGCCTTCCGGTCACTTCCGCTGTGTCACTTCCGTTTGCTTCCGGGTATCAAGTGTTTCTCCGAACTTGAGTTCCGCTGGTTCGTTGCCGAAAATGCCCCCCAAAAAATCCAAAAAAATCCAAAAAAACTCCCAAAAATGCCCCAAAATCCCTCCCAGGGACCCCAAAACCCCCGGCGCGGCAGTGAATGAGAGGGGGAGGCTGTGAGAGGAGTTGTGGGTTTAATGGAGAAGCCCAAAGACGCCTCACGTGTGGAGGAGACTCCAAAAATTCCCCACAAAATCCTCAAAGTTCCCCCAACCCCCCCAAATTTCCCCAAATCTCCCCCAAAATCCCTAAAAACCCCAAATTTCGGGGTGCCCTCAGACAGGGCTGACTCAAACACACCTGAGGACCTCGAGACCCCCTAAACCCCCTAAAATGCCCCCAAAACCCTCTAAAAACTCCCCGATTTCACCCAAATTTCACCCGATTTTCGCCCAAATTTCACCCAAAACCCCCCAAATTTCATCCCAAAACCCCAAATTTGGGGTCCCCTCAGACAGAAGGGACTCAAACACACCTGAGGAACTCGAGACCCCCTAAACCTCCTAAAATGCCCCTAAAAACTCCCCGATTTCACCCAAATTTCACCCGAATTTCACCCCAATTTTGCCCAAATTTCACCCAAATTTCGCCCAAAACCCCTAAATTTCGCCCCAAAAGCCCAAATCTGGGGTTCCCTCAGACGGGGGTGACTCAAAGACACCAAGCTCAGGTGAGACCCCAAAACCCCCCCTAAAACCTCCCCTATTTCGCCCGATTTTTGCCCGAATTTCCCCCAAATTTCACCCAAATTTCACCCGATTTTGCCCAAATTTCGCCCCAAAACCCCCAAATTTCACCCAGAACCCCCAAGTTCGGGGTTACCTCAGACGGGGGTGACTCAAAGACACCAAGCTCAGGTGAGACCCCAAAACCCCCCAAAATCTGCCCTAAAACCCCCTCAAAACCC